TTATCATTTTGCCCACGAAACCGCACTTAATGCCAAATGTGCGCAACCAAGGAACTAGTTTGGGTAAGTTACACATTTTCTTCGAGTGCGGTTAAGAAATAAAAGATACTGATACTTTGTATTATTATATTTCGGATGTCACCAAATATCAAAATCGAATAGAATATACATATGTATAACAACAATACAACAAGTAATTTTTAGCAAAAAAACTTGCTTAAAAATATATATATATATCTATATATATTTAATGATCCAATGGTCGGATCTAAACCAGATTAGTATGGGACCACCTCTGAGACACTACCTTTCCGATGCAAAAAGAATTATTGAAATCGGTTGACGTTGTCCAAAGTTATGCGGTAACATACATAAAAAAAAAAAATAAAAAATATTCCGACGAACTGATAACCCCCTTTTTTGGAAGTCGGTTGAAAAGAAATGATTCAGGCACTACGTATAGATGATTTTGAGGAAATTGTGGATATAGCTCATCTCGCCTTATTATAGCTTTGTACTTCATTTTTAATCAATTAATAATGAATTTATTAATTGCGCAGACCTATTGCAAAATGTGTTAATACAAATATGTTTTAAAAGTATACGCAAAATTGTTGGTTATAAGTTATTTGTGTTATTTATTATTGCCCTGAAGGTATTATATTCTTTTTGCTTTAAAAAAACTATTCTATAACAAGGTGTAATTTTGAAAAAATTAAATAAAAAATTGTTAGGTCGATTTCATGCGATTTTTTTTTAAGAAATTGCGCTTTTTTATTTAAACAATCAGGACACCCTGTCTATAATTCAGAAATGGAGAATGCGTTGCGGGTAAATATTAACATTATAAATAAATAAATAAATATTCGGTGCTTACACGTTTGCTAAGTGCTTGGCCGAGCATCTTCACTAAATTGTGATTGATCTTATAACATAAATGGAGAGACCTACAATTTTGTGCCGCACCGGAACGTCAAATGAATTTTATGAGCAGCTTTTTCAGGGCGGAATTACACTCGGAGGTTTGTCATTGCCTACCGGGGGCGTCCGCTCGGAGCAAGGATAGAAGCCAGGTCCTACGAGGTGGTAGTATGTGGTACCTCTAACCACTCGGCTACAACACTACGCTAAGTACACTAAAATACCACAATAACAGAAATTGAACGGTTTCAGAATACTATTCCAATAGTTCATTACACTTTTACAAGCACCTCAAATTTTAGCAAAATGTGAATAAATTTTTCCGAAGGCATGTATACCCACTGAAATATTGGCGCTTTAACCATAAAAGGTATAGATATGAAATTCTTTTGCTTTCCATTTTTCTTACACTTTCATTTTCTTCTTCACGTTCAATTGCTCTCATTGTGATCGTTCGCCTTTGGGCTAGCTCTTCTAAATAATCACAAAATACTCAGCGATTTTTTCACATGCGCATTAGTGCAGATTAGGCACGAACTTTTTGAATTCGTGAATAAACACTGTTATCTGTGTATGTTTAACAGTCAACGTTATCGGCAGAAATGTTTGTTCTGCTGCACTTGAAAGTGTGAGAGGGTTGGTTGTGGCGGTGAGGTGAATCATGGGGCCCAGGCCCATAAAATGTTCAGAACGCTTATTTCTCCTATTGCGAGAATTTTGAAGAATATTTTCTTTTATTATTTCGGCTTTCGGATAATTGCAAAAAAATTAATATCATCGAATGGATATGCAAATCGATTTTATAAGAGAGTAATTTCAGTTGCCATAGATTGGTGAGAAAACGCGATTTCTCTCTTCTTTACTGAAGCACTGAGCATAAAAAATAATTAAACAAATAATAGAGGAAAAACTCAAATGTATAGCGGCGTTCACGATATTAATATGAAAGTATGCGCATAAATAAGCAGCAGAAATATTTATATGCAAAATTGCAATGTGTGCAAAAGCGGCGAATCGAATAAAAAGTCGAATAAACAGACGTTGTGAATGAATGTGGCAACTTACCGTAAATTCACCGGTGACCGCATCAAAGCCCACATGCACGGTATGCTCGAAATTAGTGGGATATGAAATATTCGGCTTGGAGTCTGTATGCGAGGGCTTTGAGCCTTTTATCTTATTCTTCAGTGTCTTTTTCTTGCGATCGGGATCATCGGGTTCTGCGTACGGCCGTGTAATAAGTAAATGAAAAGTGATTGACTGTTCGAAAGCTTTCTACTAGACAAATAACATTCGCACTTACCTTTAGGTAATGGTCGCATGTCGACGGGTGGGCCATCGCCGCCGCCGCTACCACCGCCAACACCACCACTTGTATTTAGGCCGCCACCGCCAACGCGATCTCCACCACGGTTGCTGGTCAAACGCACGG